CAAATTTCCAGTTTGTGTCTTTGTCACTGATATAAATACCACAGTTTGAGAACCACTGCCTTAATGTATCAACTTGAAATCTGAAAATCACCTAGCAATATAAAGGGAGAAATTCTTTAAGTCACATAAAATAGCAGAAAGGTTTTGAACAGTAGCTTCAGAAGAAGAAAAAAAAAAAAGCCTGTGAAGAAACCATCTGAAAATGGAGAAAGAATAGAGCAAAATTTTGAAAACATGAAAGGCCACTATTTTTGGTCTTTACATTGGGCCAAGATCAGTGCAGTGCCTGTTTTTGTCAAACAAGTTGGGAAAACGCATAAATAATGATTCTTTGTAACATGCATAGGAGAACCCTTACTTAGTAGTGAAGATTAACAAGGCCTAGGCTGTGCCTGTGCCAGCCCCACCTAAAACTATGAAAATCAAGAACCATAAGGAATAAACTGTTTCCAAGTGACTGTATCCTAGAACAACATTAAAGGAACACAAAAATATCTGAAAGCCCGTAAGGTAAATTTCGCAATGTCCAGAATCTAATAAAAAATCAAAAACTACAAGATTTATGGAGAATCAAGGAACTATGACCTCTAATGAGAAGAAAAATGGACTGCAATGAATCCATAACTGACACATATGTAATGATCAGAATGGAAGGACATTAAAGCAGTTATCCTAACTATATTCACTATTGCCAATCACTGTAACTAAAGACAGAGTTTTTTCAAAATGTTTATATTGAGCTATACAAATTAAAAATTTTCAACATGCTAGATGAAAAAATGAATTTGAGGGTTTAATAATATACTAAGTCTTATAGAAAAGATTAGCGGCTCTGAAGACCCCAGAATAGAAAACATCCAAAATAAAACACAGAAGAAAAGAAACATGGTATCCACCAATGATCTTTGGGACTTCAGCAGCCTAAATAATGTATTATTACAACGGGGGTTTCCGGGGGAATGAAAGGCATATTACCCACAGATCAAGGAGGAGAAAATGACAGTGATCTCTCTGTCACATGGGAATAATACAAATAGGAAAATAGTAGAACGGTATCTTAAAAGTCCTAAAAATTGACAACTGAGACCTTGGAGCTCTGAGAAGCAGAGACTTCTCCAGATATGCAAAAGCTGAAGAAATTTATTACCAAAAATCCACACGATAACAAACGGGAAAGGCTAAAAGGAGAGGATGCCAGGTGAAAATATTGACTGATACAATGCAAAGAGCGCCTCTGTTCAAGTATAAAATTACTACTGAGAGCCTGAAAGATTTCCCCAGTTTCCTCTGGACAACAGGGACTTATCCAGATGAGCCCCTTTTCTCAGTGCATCACATCAGAACAGACAGAACACAGGGACCTTGGAAAGACTCAAGAGTAGCTCAAGTTTACCACGCTTAGACTAGTTCTGACTAACCCAACAAGGGCCCTACTTGATGAGGCATACTACATATTTTTATGCTTGTATTGACTTTTAAGGCACTTCCCACGTTCTGAATGTACAGTATACTGCTGAGAAATGGGAAATGCGACACAAATGTTGGAAAGTGTGACCGAGGAAACAGTAAGTACTGGTTTCTTTAATCGTCATAATGAAACATGCCCACTTAGCAGGAGAAACTAGAGCAAGAGGAAGTGACTTGTCCTAAACTGGCTCCTCACCAGGGCATCTGTTCTTGGACTCAATGTTCTTAATGTCATATTGCAGGCACAGATCTGGAAAAGAGCTCAAAAGAATGTTTTTAAGTCAGAAGACCAGCTAAGAAGGCCCAAAATCTAAATAATAAGAACTTACGATAGAAATACCATAGAGACAAAAAAAAATTCTTTACAAACTCCACTGAGAAAAACAATGTAAAGAATTTATACTCAGATGAGACAAAACTTCTCAGCATCAACAGACAAGGTAGGATGATAAAGTATATTCTTACCCCAAAGTCTGAAGGTCTAACCTGGAGTGCTATAGTCCTGAACTCTTAATCAGGTATGCATGTAGAACAAAGAGATTCCCAGTTCTAAAATACTTCACTCCCCACATATTCTTTCTAGGGAATCACTGGTTGATACATTTTAGCAAAATAAATAAATAATAAAGACGGTATTGGTATCCAAGGTTCCAATACAAGAGAGGGCCAGGGAATTTAACAAGTGGTTAAAAAGGGAGACCCGGGATGAGAGCAGTCATGGATGTGCACAGCAACCTGTGTAGCCTGGAGCATGCTGAAAGAGAATTCCAAACTTCCAGAGAAGCAAAAGGTTGACTTGCGTGGATGGGTAGAGAGGAGTGAATGACTGTATACCAAAAATTCATTAATGAGAAGAGAGAAGAAATCAGTCCAGATCTGGGGCTTGGGCTTCACAATGGAGTGCTTGACTAACATGTATGGGTCCTAGGTTTGAACCTCAGGGTTCAAGTGCACACGTGCACACACACACACACACACACATGCACCATTTACTTTAGGGAAAGCAAACTCTGTACAGGGAGAGAAACGGAATTATTGGTGGATAACATGATTAGTAACAAAATCAAGTAATGGGCACTGAATTCACCCAAAATTATACTCTAAAATACTCTCTGAATGAAAAAAAGGTTTCTGTCTGCTAGTTCACTGATACACACACACACACACACACACACACACACACACACACACACACTTACTTTCATGGCAATCAACTAGGCACATACTGGACACTCGATAAATAGGTATTAAGTCAATGAATGAATACAAAGAGGAAAGAGGTATAAACACATGCAAAATGAGGGCGAGGAAAAGCTGGTACAATGTACATTCTCTTCTTGAATAGAAGCGAATAAATATTGTCTGGAACCAAACATAAAAACAAGACATAGAAAGATAAGTGTGCTATTTCAAAGCACAGGCAAAGACTTTAAAAAGCAAAAGGGGGTGGCCACAGGAGAGGGAGTGAGGCTGAGAAAGATCAGGGACTGCAGCTTGCTATTGTAACTGCAGAGCTAGCTGCCTTTTTAGACAATAACTTAGAAAGTATTAACATTGTAACTTGACAAAAGTAATTATCAGCCGCCTGCCAAGTCAGCTGGTTATTACCAGACTGGCCTGACCTCCCAAACCAGAACAAAACCGCTTTGTCTTTTACATTCCGAAGAAGTTTCTCATTACATAAAGATACCTAGGGAGATGGCTTAGAGGGTAAAGTGCTCACCATGCAAGCATGAGGAACTGAGTTTGATCCCCAGCACCCTCATGAAAGCTGGTTTGTGTTGAAAAGCCTGGTGTTGGAGCAGGGCCATATACAGGTGAATGCCTGGCGCTTACTGGGCAGTTCCCCTAATTGATGAGCGCTAGGCTGTGAGAGACCCTGCCTCAAAAACTAAAGTGGAGAGACCGAGAAAGGCACCTGACATTGACTGTGGTCACCCCCCGCACAGACCCACATGCAGATTTGCACATGTATACTAAAAAAGAAATAGGCTGCAATGTCGGTGATGTACATCACCACTTAGTCGGTGTGAACTGAGACCTTTTCTGCTCCATGAGGATGACAACAGCCATTTAAACCATCATTTAATCATTCTCTCCCCCTTTGTTTCTTCATTTTCCTGAAATGCGCGTACAACACCCACCAGAAAGACTGAAATGGAAAAGAAAATTTCAAGGAACTGGTGAAGACGTACAACAATTAGAACCCTGATGGGAATACACCCCGAACAGCCCTGTTATAGATCAGTAGCCTCTATTCACCAGACACCACTCCCGGTGACCCCACTCCTTCCCACACGCATGTGGTATGTTTCTACTGGTAATATGGTCAAAACAACTGAAGGTAGCATATGATGCTGATGGTCAGGAGAGCAGCTTTGTGGCTGAGGAACAAGACTTGAGTAGGAATGTGCCTTCCTGGAACTGACAGCCTTCTGCTGCTCCGTGGGGCTCTGCGTCCTTGGATGCCAACAGCTCATCACCATTTATTTAAATTCATTAAACTGCATCCTTTCTTTTTTAAGTAGTCAAAATCTTAAAAAAAAAATAAAGTGCTTCTGTTTAACTGCTGAGTATATGGGCAAAAGAATTGGAAGCAGGAACTCAAAGGCACTCATGCCTACTGGTATTCATGGTAACATTCCTTCAGCCACTCAGCAGCTCAAGATCGGGAGGTTCATCAATAGATGTGCAAGCAATCAAGATGCTGTATGTGCACGCATGGAATATTATTCAGCGAGAAAAAAAAGGAAGTTCTGACATAAGCTACTCCATGGATAAAGCTTGACATCTCTGTGTAAAGTAAGTCAATTTTCACTAAAGAACAAAGACTGCACGATCCCACTGACAAGAAGAACATGATGGGCGTGGTCGAACTCATGGGGAGGGAAATGAAAGCCGCATGAGGAGGAGAATGAGGAGGAGAATGAGGAAGCCTAGCATCCAATAGATACAGAGGAAATGGATACAGGGGAAATGATGTCATAACCACAGATGTGCTTCACGCCTCTGACCTGCATGTGCTAAGTTTATTAAGATAGTAAATTCTATGCAGTGTGTAACCTAAAATAAAATGTCCATTTTCACCCAAAGCAAGTCGAATGTGATTCTGCTCTATGTATGCTAATGAAAGCATGAACCACCTACAGAGGATCTTCAGGAGTCCCCACCCCTTTTGGGGGTTTCTCTAAATCCTACCTCCGATTCTGTTGTAGACAGACTCTCAGGCACTGTGGTGTATAAGGCTCTGGATCCACTGGGCCCCTGCACTACACAATAGCCATCCCCCAGTTCAGAATCACAGCCCAGGGTGGAGGGGAAAAGCAGAGAGGTCTGTTCATACACTATAAATCAGGGAAACTGAGGAAAAGAATCCGGTTGTAAAAGAATTGTGGGGACCTCTAATTCAAACTGTGAGCTAACCCCTTATGTCCCCAGACTCCTTAATCCCCTTGAAAAACAAAAATTCAATTTTCACATTAAAACACATTAGATTTCACAGATCTTTCATTATACATTAAAAAAATTCACCATTTGACTTGAAAACAGTTTATTTAATTTATACAAATAACTACTAAATACAAAAAGTAGATTAAAACAAAATAGTTATTTTTTTTTTCTGGCAGAGTTTAAATGCACATAATGGATAATTCCGAAGAAGATGCATTTTCCCCCACAGCGTTTGGGACTAAAATTCTACTGAAATCTTTGCTTTCTAAATCAGTAATATATTGGGTGGTGTCGCATGGGTAATGACTAAATATGTTCTGCATACGAACTGAAAAGAAAGTTACAGTCTACACACATTAAAAAAAACGTGAAGCACTTAAAATGTGAATTTAACTGATAATAAAAGAAAAAAAATGTCCATTTCAGAGTCTAGTGTTAAAAACATTTCGGTAATAAAATCATAAGACCACATAAAAATAAGCTTTAACGTATGCATGAAGCAGTTTTGTAAAAACTGCTAGGTGCACAAGTAATAAATAATTTGCAAAGTTGTGTATAAACAATTCCTAATGTTCGCATCGTTGTAAACATCAGCACGTGTGTAAAATGCAGCAGAGTCTAACATTACATTTTTTTTTGTTTTGTTTTGCCAAATTGAATTCCTATTATCCAAAGACAGACCAGTGGAGTACGCAGCCGATGTTTTTGGCAAGTTGGGTCTTTAAAATTAAGGGTAACAGTGCAAGTAAGGAATGCACAGAATTCCTAGTGCAACAAAGAAGAGTAGTGCAGCCAATATTGCTGATTGAGAATTCACCACCTCCTTGAGTTTCCCGTGGGGAGTGTCTAGGAGACCCGTGAAAGATATGCAAAGCCACTGTCTTAATGCCCAGACCTCTTGCAGGATCTCTCCGTGTTCCTCCAGTCCCCTCCCTTTGCAACCCTATCCGCCCACCATTAGTCTCTGTGGTGGGAACAGTTCTCCAAGTGCCCAGGTCACAGTTTTTTTTTGAGCGAGGTTAGGGTGGTTTTAGTGTCTCCCCGGAACATGGCTTGGGAGAGACATCCGCTTTTGTCAAAGCAGCCACTTCGGGAGGGAGACCGATGGGTTCTGTTCTGACAACTGGTCAGGCCAGCGTTAGGTCCCAGCTGGACAACGACAGTGTTGACTCTTCCTTCTTGACACCGTGAAAATGTCAACAGTCAGTTTTTAATTTGTCTAGGGAATTATCGATTTTGGTCAAAGTCTTTTTGATGCGAAGAGCTGTGAGCCTTGCCGACGGGTTCTGATACCAACACTCTTTCATCAGCTTCGCCAGTGAAGTTAATGTCTGAGGAGAGGAAAGAAACATCACACAGACTCACTCTCTGGTGGGCCTAGAGACTAGGCAGATGTTGTGTCAATTGCTTTGAAGAACCTGTAAGTCTTGAGAAGCTGGCCATGCTACAGGCATCTTCTTTAAGGAAGTCCTCAAGGCCTTAGCCACCAACGAGGAAGCATTTATGAGCTTCTTTTGGACTCCTAGGACCACCAGCATACTTCATCAGCAAATGCCATGGGCCAAGTCAGAGCCCTTGCATTTTATGGCTGCTAAAAGTAAGATTACTAACCCAGTGACGAGAGTGAAATCTTAGGGAGCATCTGGGATGTGCTACTAACGAGGAATTCAATCAAGCTCCTCGGCATCGTACAGCCTGCTTTTAGAATCTCAGGTAAGCAGAGATGGTCAAGAGTTAATCACCATTGCTGCCTCTGATTGACACATGCAACCGCAGCTTTAGGGCGACGGGAATGAGTGATCTTGTTTTCGACACTGGTCACACATGGACACCCATGGGAGTGTCACCCATTAGCAACATCTGCCAGATTGGGCTTCTTCAAGAATTGCAATGCCACCCAAACCTACGCAATTAGGCTCCAGGATCCTACGTAACACTGTGTAGGAGAAGAATAGATACACGGTGTCCATGAAATCGATGCTAAGAGTCAGGAAGCTAACAGTTGCTGGGATGATCTAAAACTAATAACACAGCATGCTTACCGGGTCTGAGAACCATCTGTTGGGTATGTTTGGCCTCTGTTGATCCACGCAGACAACTTTCCTCATATCTTCAAAACTTGGGTCATTGGGAACGACATCATAGAATGGCGGCTTGTAATCTTCCACTATTCCTGTGTACGACAAGACGAGAACTGTGTGGGTTAGCAGGAGAGTACACCTCCCCGCAGGGTGTCACTGTCGTGAGTTATAATGTGACAGGATAAAGCCCCAGCCACCACTCTCCTATGTCAAAGCACCTTTGGAAGCCACAGGCAGGTCCTAAAATAAGTTGAGACAAAGGCAATAATTATATACCCTGCAGGAAATCAGAATGAGATGAAGACTGAAAATCCTCTCATGAAATCGCAAGTACCACAAACCATTCCGACACTGTCTACAAAGAACTCACAACCGTCTGTAATTTCAGTTCCCAGGGATCCCACCCCTCTTCTGACCTCCACGGGAATCACACACACACACACACACACACACACACACACACACACACACATAAACGTTGCACAGATATACATGTAGGCAAAAATACTCATACACATAAAATTAAACTAAAAAAAAAATCTTTTTTAAAAGTATCTGCAAACAGCCGGAGGCAAAATAACAAATCAAGACCATCACCCAAACCACATTTTTGTTATGAACTTATTTTGTCAGAAAATTCATGGCTTTCAAATAATCTCTCCCATCAGGGGCACACAAATAGTGTGATCTGAGATTGTTATTTCCCAGCCACTCACTCTCCACACAGGCATGTCCTCAAACTACCAGAGAGAAGCCTCTGTTCGATGGCTAGTGCAGTTATTATCAGTACCTGTCTTTTCACTTAGAAGACAAATTCCGCCAATCAATTTAAGACTTCACCATATGGAATAAGCAAAGTGACTGTCCTCTTACAGCCAGAGAACCAGGGAAATTACCACTTGGTTTCCACTCACCAACCATGTGGTCAGTGACTAACTCGGCTGCTGGCCCTTTTCCTTCCTGCATGGAACTTCTATTCCTAGACACACGGGGTGGGGGGTGCTGTTGTAGAGGACAGAAGGAGGCTGTGAGTAAAAGGTATAATTAAGCTTTCCCTGTTCTTGCAAGCCCCCTAAAAAAGCTTCAACTCCCTTTTCCTTTGTCGCAGGGGTTAGTGAGAATCCACTCACACCAATTTCACAGAAATACAAGTCACTTATGCAGAAGCTCAGAGATGAGGAGCATCTGCTGTAGAAATACTACAGGGTTTCTAAACCTCACAGACTCCAAAGTTTATTTTTAAAACGGCAAGTAGTCTAAATTGTATCTTTAAAATTCTAGTTGACACTTTGTTAATCCTAAATAATGTAGCCACTTGTGTAACTGAATCTGTGATGTGGATCCAAATGAAAACCTTTCCAGGCAAATGGCAATTGCTCCTAATGGGCATAAACCTCACCGGAAGCAGTTACACCATCTCCAAATCTTACTTACTTCTCTTGTAAGGATCCCTGACCACGTCAGTACTTGGGAAACATAACATCTTGCACAAAAGTATTTCCAAACTGTTGTGTGCGAGCATGTATGTGTGTGCGCGTGTGTGCATGTATGTGTATTGCAAGTTTTGTGTTTTGTTTTATTCGGTCTCATCTTGTTTTATTTGAGTCTCACTGGCTGCAAGCTTGACCAGTGGACTAGGCTGGCTGGATAGCAGGATCCGGAGACACCCCTGCCTCTACCTTCCCCAGCACTGGAATTACAGGCATGCCCCATCATGTCTAGCTTCTCTACGTAGCTTCCTGGGATCGAGCTCACATCCTTGTGCAAGAGCTACACTGTCTCCCCAGCTCCACAACTCCTTCTTATGCCACTAAATACTTTTACTTGGAAGTGAGAAAAAATTCTCTTTTGTTTATGTGTTAGCTCCTACATTGAGTCTAAGATAGCTTCATGGCCACTCCCCAGTTAAGAGCTGCACATCACTCAAACCTAGACAGACAAAATGCACCACAAGGCTGGAACTGGATGCCTCTTGAGAAGAGAGGCCATGCACTAAAGGCCAGGACCGTACAAAAGACACAAATATTTGTCTTAGAGGAAGTAAGAAGAAAACCAAACAAACAGCTTCTCGCAAACTTCTGATGCCTCCACACTATTTCAGCATGAGGCCAACGGATGGTCCTCCTCTCTTTAGCAACTCCAAATAGGGGACACAAAATTCCAGGAAATCGCAGGAACAAAAATAATCCTTCCTCCAGCCTCGCCTCCACATTCCTGTCCCCAGTCACTTCCCTAAAGGTTAAAATGAACAACTAAATAAAAGCTTTCAAATTTCAAAAAAAAAAAGTATAAATATGAATATTTTCCCTGGGCTGATTCATCGGCTCAAACCTTAGTGCGCACTAAGGGAGTGAAATCACATCATGACGCATGCTGGACATCCAGCGTTGTCATGGCTCCCACACAAGCCACTGTGCTCACGAACAGAACAGAAGCACATGGGGCTCTCTGGCAAATGCAAAGGCTCATTAGAATAGGTTTCCCAAACTACATGTGCCAAACATACGTTTACTCTAAGTATTTCCTAGTCCCCAGCCCATGCGATGCAACTTGGCCAGCCAGGGTATTTTTTTTTTTCTGTGATACAATAGTTTTTGGCACATCTGAATATGGATTTTTATCCCATAATAATTAAAGTCAGGAAAATAGGAGTGCTCCCCCAGAGTCTTCCTACAGGCAGGGAAATGGGGGAACATGTGGAACACAGGAGAGGGGGAGAGGTAGACAGTAGGAGGTGGGGAAGATCCAGAAGCTCCTGGAAACCTATTTCCAGTAGAAAGGAGCCAGGAAATGGCAGTCAATGCCCTCCCTATGCAGCAGGCAAATAACAGTTGCTTTGCTGACATGATTGCATTTAACCGCCATGATCTCTTCATGGTGGTAGTTGGTTGTACTTTCAATATTTTTCCAATGGTGAAACAAATCTAAATAGTATTGTCATAGTATAATATGAGAGCCTGGGATATTATTGATTCTCCCATCCCAGTGGGCTCAGAACCAGAGATGGAGCTCCAGGGGCTCCACCCACACAAGCCTCTGTGTGTCATGCCTGAGAGCCCTGGTTCCAGCCATTGGAAAACAGAAACACACAACAGGAAGTAAGAAGCCACCAAATGCCACAGGGGCACATGGCTTTACCCTCTAGACTACAGATGCTTGCGGGCATTGTCACCTCTGCCTTCTTAGAACGCCTCTAGTCCAATGTGCACATTCAAAGCCTGGACCTCACATTCTCTAACTCAGAACCCCTACTTTGGAGTCCAGGGCTGAAGCCCAGCAGCATCTCGGCATGAGCTGGCACCGATTCTGATGCCTGCTCCAGCTTTCACTACGTCCCCAAGCAAACCTCTGCCTTTAGTTCGTATGGAAATCCACACAGGAAAGGTGGGAAAACCCGTTCTTCCCTAACGATTCCAAACTCACTGTCAAAGTACTAGCACCAATAAAATCCAAAAGATCCTTCTGAGAAATTCTTGATGGTGAAAATGGACTGAAGTCTCATTTCCTATACAGAAACAGCATGAGGTTTATTACTAGTAGGAAATAAATGTGAAATTCCAATAAAAGTGCAAAATATGACATATTTTTATGCTCATGGTTCACTTGAGAATCACTGCTCCGATAGAACTATCTGGTCATGAATTTTTGTAATAGACTCTGAAATTCAAAGGACATAATTATAATAACCCTTCTTAATATGAGGTGTTCATATATTTAAATGAGGTACATTTTATACACAATAATTTAAAATATATATATTATTTTAATGACAGTTCCTAAAGGTGGTAAGAAAGTGAAATAGGTACATTGTACCCTAGGGTGAAGGAAATATTGTAAATTAGGACAACCCTTATGGAAAGTAATTTGGCAATGTGTGCCAAGCCATAAAAACATCCATATTCTGACTTATTAAAACCACTGTTTTTAAGTCGAGGACTTAAATTCCCCAAATGAAAAGTTACGTGCACAAAAATGTCTACCATAGGCCTCAAATGGGATACACAGGATGTCTAGCAATCTGGGAAGGGCCACATTAATAAAACACCACATGACCATTTAAAATAAGAGCGGAGACTAGCTTAAGAGTCGCATACAAGAGAAAGACGATCGTAAGCACATATAAACGAAGTGGATAAGGGAATGGAAACCATGAGTGTAGGAGCGAGGAGAAGAGAGCAGCATTTCTCCTGCCTTCCGTTCCTCTCACCTTTCCTCTTGGGGCTAGCAGTGGCTAAAATAAAACAAGGATTCAAGAAGCATTGACTAGTCTCAAGTCTGAGTTTAGGCACACTAATTTGAGAGAGAGAGAGAGAGAGAGAGAGAGAGAGAGAGAAAGAAAAAGAGAGAGAGAGAGAGAATATGAGCATGCGCACAAGTGTGTGCATGTGTGCATGTATGTGTGCATATATGCGTGTGTGCATGTGTGTGTTGTATGTGCGTGTGGATGCTCATGGGAAAAGAGGGACTAGAGAAAAAGGAAAAGATCAAGTGAGCCATTTCTAGAAAGTTAGAACTTGCTTTAATATGAGAGACAAGATACCCTTATCTCCACTTAAACACACACACACATCACAGAACAGAAGCTCAGCCCACGGCATCTTGGGAAATAGCTAGACGCCTAACCCACGATGCAAAGGAGAGACCAATAAATCACAAAAACAACCAAAACATTCTCCCTTCTCCTCCCAGCCAGTTTTTTTGCTTTTTTTTTTTTTTCTTCTTCTTCCCAAAAATAACCTTAATCACAGGATCTAGCAAGCAACCTAACATTTGTTTGGCTGAATTTCAAGCAGATGACTCTAACTTCAAGCTGACTACTATTAATCACAGCTGATCTTTCAAGCCGTTTGGGTTGACGCCTGTGACACTGACACAGGGCACATTTGTGACACATTCTTACAAAGCCCACACCATGCATTCCTGCCTAGCAACCTGATTGGCTCTGGGCTGTGCACCCAAAGCTGGGAACCAGCTACTCTGCTGACCCAGGGACACCAGCTTCCTCCTCTCTGCGGGGAAGTTCCCCAGCATGCTGTTTATTCTGGTAGCAATCCTCTAAATGCTCCTGTTAAAACAGACTAAACTAGCCGGTGGCAATGGCGCATGCCTTTAATCCCAGCACTCGGGAGGCAGAGGCAGGCAGATCTCTGTGAGTTCGAAGCCAGCCTGGTCTACAGAGTGAGTTCCAGGACAGCCAGGGCTACACAGAGAAACCCTGTCTCGAAACCAAACAAATGAAAACAAGCAAACAAATGAAAAGACGGCTTAAGCAGAATCTGGCTTTCCCCCTCAGCTTTAAGGCATCCACAAATGACTGGGGAAAGGTGAGGAAATGAAGTCCATGTGCAATCTCAGGCAAAGTTCAGAACGTTATAAACCAGCTAGGCAATCCTTCTGTCGCAAACTGGTCTCAAGCGCTCCAATGGCACTAACTAAAAGGCAGTGGATTGAGAAATAATTACCAGAAAATGTTCATGGCTCCGTAAAAAAAGTACTGTCAAGTTACCGTTCACAGATGTTTAATCTGAAACACTTGCCATAACGCCCTTTGAGGGTATCTTAAAAATGGACACACCGATGTCACAGAAAACCCTATCATGAAGGCATGCTAACTTCAGCTACTGCCCACTGAAACTATATCAAATTACTCAACCCCATTTTTGCCACAGGACATCTTAATCTCTGGCCGTTACTCACAAAAATTGTAACTACCACACAATCTCAGTCCTTAGGAAGAAAACTATTGGTGGATGGTAGACGTAGCAAAGATCTAGATTTCTTGTCTTATTGCTAGAAGACTTCAGAACTGGGATCCCAGTGGTTTACAGGCAGATAAAATGACTTTTGAAAATTGAATAAAACTTTAAACATCACTTTCTTCTCTCTTTTTAAAAATAATTTATTTAACTTTATTTTATATGCATTGGTGTGAAGGTATCAGATCCCCTGGAACTGAAATTACAGACAATTACGAGCTGCTGCAATGTGGGTACTGGGAACTGAACTCAGGACCTCTGGAAGAACAACCAGTGCTCTTAACAACTGAGCCATCTCTCCAGCCCTCATCTTCTTCTCGTTTTATGGGATAATTTCAGAGACATATTTTTCTAGGTATAAGAAGCTCATCAAGTTGACTCAAGGGATTGTGTTATGAAAACCACCCCATGTTGTTGGGGCATTCCTAAAGTGACAGAACAGAAATGAATGCTTCCTAATTCAATACAAAGTTTCATTACGTGAAGGTTCACAAGTGGACATGAGGGAGAACCAGTTGTGGGAGGCACAGGCCAAAACACTGACAAATAAGCCAAGCGTGGTGGCACACACTTTTAATCCCTGCACCTGGGAGTAGAGGCAGTCAGATCTCTGTGAGTTCTAGACGAGTCTGGCCTACATAATGAGTCCAGGAAGGAAAGAAGGAAGGGAGGGAGGGAGGGAGGGAGGGAGGGACGGAGGGACAGAGGGACGGACGGAGGAAGGAAGGCTTTCCTATAAGCTAAGAGAACCACCATTTTATAAAATTAAACAGATCAATACAAGCCACCCATCCACAGTCCTTGAATTTAACTGTGCTTGAATGTTTCTTATAAAGAAATGCCTTTTAAATGTGGGAACAGACTTTCCTCAATAATCCAATGATAAGAAGAAAAGAACTCTGCAATAGCAAGATACTTATATAAGAGCTAGACATTGCTCATGGGGGAACAAAGAGAGAAGAATAGTGAGAAGAAAGTCAAACAGAAAGCCAGAGGACAAAAGAAAAGAAGCAAGAGACCCAAGGAAAAAACAAGAAAAAAATTATGCTGGCTGAAAAATAGTCCTTCAGCTGTTTCCTCTCTGAAATTCCAAACACAATGCCATTACACACTTCACCCACCAGAAGTCAGGCAAGCATGATTTGACTCAATGAACAACGTGGCTGCCATAGTCCCCTGTGTTTTTGAACACGTGGCATCAAGAGACTATGGACAAAGACAATGCTACACACTTACCGTTGCTCACCATCCGCCTGGCCACTTCCCACAGAACAAGGCCAAAGGCCCAAATATCGACCCTCTTATATGAATCAAAACAATCCACTTGGATAGTTTCATCTAGAACTTCGGGAGCCATGTAGCGCTTGGTCCCCACTCGGGGGTTGTTTCCCACGTCAAGCTGATTGGTGCTCTGGGAATGCATGACTGCTAGGCCTAAAGGGAAAAAGACAACAGCGTGATTAGCTACTGCGTTCTTCCTACAGGGCAGCTGAAGGAATTTATAACAACCCCAATCATAAGCGCCCTCTGGTGGTGAGTGTGTCACTGGCATTAGACCTAGAATATCCTGAATAGCCCCAGATTGGGTGTAACTTTGGGCACAAGAGCAGGAAAAAGTACTAATTTCAGGAAGATTATGAGACTATCAAGTTAATATATAAAGATCCAGAAGATAGGGTTTTTTGTAAATGCAGACCAAAACACGAAAGCAATATGAGGCCATGTTGGAAGCCGATGGAGAAACAGGTTCATACATGTTCTATGTAAATCTCAAGGTGGCTTAAAAATCAGCAAATTAAATGCTCAAACACCACCACTTCTCCCACTTATCTCCAAACACAAATTTTTGACAGTGCGAGACCAAAAGCCTGAGGTAATTTATTGTTCCATAAGGGGCAAGCTACGACTGGTTCTGGTGTATCCCCATAGGGGCAGCCGCTTATCAGAGCAATCAGGCTGGCTGAACCCATGGGCCTTCCCCCTGGAATCATGGGAACAAATGGCAATAAGCTGAACCTTGACTCAGAGTGCATCTCTCTCGTTAAATGGTTCCAAAGCACTTAAACCATGGCTCGTTTCTGAATTCCTCCGTCAATTAGAGAGACCTGCCATTCCCCACTAGCCACTGGGGAAAGGCAGATTTGTACCTGGCTTATTCGAGGATGGAATTATTTATTGATGCACAAATAGATCATCTTAAAAAATGATTGCTATAACACTCAATATAATGAGAAATGCCAAATAGGATCAAGATGCCCAGGGAAACTTTGCGATCCTGAGGTGCCTTGGAAATCCCTCCAGTTCTCTGCGGTGAACAAATTCTTCAGGCCATAGTCTTGAAGGCGTGACTCCACAAAAGGCCAAAGAGAGCACCGTTTTACCCTTCACAATCGGCAAAGATTTTAGCAACTGCCTTCATCTGAAACAGAGTGGGTCCTCTTTCTCTGTCCGAGCTGTTGTGAACATTCGCCAAACCACATATGCTCCTCTGCCGTTCCCAGAGCCACCTTCAAAACGTCAGCCTGCTGGGCAGGAGCAGGTGAGACCGACAGGCCGTGGCAGCTCGGCTGGCTTTAGCCACATTAATAACAACAAAAGTGAACGCTTGTATCTTTGAAACAAGGGCTTGAGAGACAGAATAAAAGTTTTCCTGCTTGTTTTCTTTGGCCCATTTATTATGCTAAAGGCCAGTAAACAGCCCTGTGGAGAGGCCTACTTGCAGGGCACTGAAGTTTGCTGCCCTGCCCAGAGCCATGTGACTGCATCGTATTGGAACTGGCTCATTCCACCACAGCGAAGGCTTCCAATGACCAGAGCCCTGACCGACAGCTCATCAGTGTGCACCTACACTCCCAGCTCTGGGGAGGCAGGAGAATTTCTACAAGGTTCAAGACCAGTGAGTTCTAGGTCAGCTAATAAGATACTGCAAAGAAAGAAAGAGAGAGAGGGAGAGGAGGAGGGAGGGAGGGAGGGAGGGAGGGAGGGAGGGAGGGAGGGAGGGAGGGAAACAACAACAGAAGCCTCCAGAAGATGCTGGGTGCCCAGTTTTACAGAGAATCCCTTACCCACTAGCAGTCAATGATCACTATAAAGAAAAAAAAATGCAATCTGTAAACCTTGATTGAATTGCTACTTGGGAAAGCCAAGAAATAACCAAAGCCAAGTATGGTGGCACACACCTGTAATACTCTAGCATTCAGGGGTTGAGGCAGGAGGATCCCAAACTAGGCTAAAGGAGGGTCCGGGCCAGTCTAGGTGACATAGACTCTAGTGGTTCTTTAGATGAGATTAAACTGTGGTTTTGGAAGAGATATATTTTGATATGGGGGGGATAAATTTTGAGATATTTAGTAGTAAAATGTTATAATATCTGTCACACACACACCCAAATGAGTAAAAATACACAACCACAAAAGGAAAATATAATAAAAAGTTCAATTTTGAATCTAAGAGTTATTATAATATTCCTTCAAGCCGGGTGGCAGTGGCAAGCACCTTTAATCCCAGCACAAGGAAGGCAGAGGGAGGCAGACTCTGAGTTCAAGGCCAGCCTGGTCTACAGAGAGAGTTTCAGGGCAACCAGGACCACACAGAGAAACCCTGTCTCACAAAATAAACAAGCCCAGGTGGTAGTGGTGTGCACCTTTAATCCCTGCATGTGGGAGGCAAAGACAGGTGGGTCTCTGAGTTCGAGGCCAGTCTGGTCTCCAGTACAGCTAGGGCTGGTACATAGAGAAAGAAACTAAACAAATAAAAAAAACTAAAAAAAAAACCTAATATTCCTTCCAACCGTTTATGTGATGTTTTCACTTATTTGCAAGTATTTTTCATAATAAATTTATTTTTAAAGAACAAATTAATTAAAATCTTATACGCTTAACTGTTTTTAATAACCAAAAAGTTAGAAAAATCAATTGGATATAGTTCTTTCAGCGGCGCTGATAACAGAACACCGTTCCTGATGAGTGGTCCTTAATTTCAGGGTAAACCATGAATAATTACATGCAACTTCCAGCCTTCAAGGGGCTGTTTCCTACACAACATTACTGGTCTCGGGCAGTGACTCAGTAGCATGGGTTTTCGCCACATCTAATGCATCTAATTGGAAGGCTTCGTACCAAAAAAATGTGGCTGAACCATTAATTAGCTGGACGAAATCCCCCATCTCCTTCCTGACCAAGTCCCATAAACCAAAGCCTAGAGCTTCTCTATTATAACCACAGCCCTCATTGGAATCCTTTCTTCTGAGATATTTCCAGCAATGCCCGAACCCTACCATAATCCTGTGAGGTAGGCACAACTGGTGTCGAGGTACATGAACAGTTCTTGTGAAGGCACCAATGTTGTAGAATTCAGAGCTCGGCATGAAGCACTTAGGGCCTCCCCTTTGGCCCTGGGGCAGAGCGTAAGGAGTGTTGGCATTTCAGCCAGGTGAGTCCACAAGTAAATAAACATGCAAAAATGCAGAGTGAGTGACAGAATTTGCACACAAATCACTGTGGTTCCAGGAGCCATGACAGCTGAGCAAGTTTTCTTCACAACTCAACGGCTGCACGCGGCTTCGGGGCCACACCCGCACGCTCACAAAAACACTGACATGAGATGACTCGAAGGAAATGGATTTCCCTAACCTGTCAAATTCTCTGCTTTTGAAACAAAAGTATATTAATCTTATCACACAACTAAAGCTAATTCTGTCTAAACCTTTTTTCGGAATGAGGCATCATAACGACACCATTCGGTTATTATTAGGACAACCATACAGCCAAAATCCTAGGGGTTTAGGGTAGAGATTAGTTTGCAGAGTTGCCACTATCCGGGAAGATAGTTTCCTCTGTAGGACAACTGAAACTCTGTCGTGAGACCCGAAACCCTGGAGGGTGGGGGGCTCCGACTCCACGAAGGACGAAGTTACCTCATGGCCCACTTTCTCCACTTGATAACTTTGCTCTGGTGACTGAAGAATGACTTCAGGCACCATTTTTAAGACAAACCGATCCATAAAATATTTAGTTGTACACCTACTTTCACACAAAAGCTCATGAAATCAGAATGCTCCAGTAGTTGTCGCGGATGAGGGTGATGGGATAAGGACGGAGCCTACTCTAAAAAATAATAAGAAAGTCTCGTCAGAGACTTGGTGTTTGCAGTTTCTGTCAAAATCCTGAAAATATAAGGTTTGGGTGTTTCAGGATATGTAAAGTGTCCCTGGACGGGGAAGAAAATGAATGAACAAATAAGGCGCTTTACTGAATGGCATATTAGTTTGGCGAAGTTGTCAGAGCAAAGGATTCTTTTGTCTGTAACTTGCTTTAAGAATGCTCCAAGAGGGGTTGGAGAGATGGCTCAGAGGTTAAGAGCATTGCTTGCTCTTCCAAAGGTCCTGAGTTCAATTCCCAGCAACCACATGGTGGCTCACAACCATCTGTAATGAGGTCTGGTGCCCTCTTCTGGCCTGCAGGCATACACACAGACAGAATATTGTATACATAATAAATAAATAAATATTAAAAAAAAGAATGCACCAAGATGAACTGATTAATATGAACTGATAGATGGACAGATGAATGCACAGTAAGGATGAGAGAACTGTGAAATGGTAATGGGGAGATGCGAGTGGTTCACACACAGCTGCTGGTTAATGGGGAGGTTCAAGTGATCCACACACAGCTGCTGGTTAATGGAAAGATGCAAGTGGTTCCTGCGCAGCTTAGAAAGACATTCAGTTCTCCTTAACACTTGAAATTTTCAGTATAACATGTTAGGAGGAGACACGGGCACAACATGGCTAACACTGGAGTACAACGTTAGTAAATGAGGTAACTAAGAATGGTTTCTAAGTTTTACCCAGATCTGCTATGCAGCACTGTCCGTTCTTCTTCACCAGGATGTTTTTGCTCTTTAGATCTCGGTGGGCAATAGCTGACTTCCCCTGGGTCCCAAATATCTCTATGTGCAAATGCGCAAGACCACTGGCTATGGACAGCACTATCCGAAGGCAGCTAACGGTGTCCAACGTCGTGAGCTGAAGGTAGTCGTACAGGGATCCCATTTCGTGGTAATGTGTGATTAGCCACAGCTGGGTGCTGGAGTGTCTGGATGTCATGTCCGAAGCAATGAAACCTGGGAAAGAAGGACAGGATTTTCACAGTGAGAACTCCACCTTGTGACTCTTGAGAACCCAAAACGGTCACCGAACTCATCTAATCTAGAACAAAAAATAATTAATTACAAAAGCACCAGGGAACAGCATCTAGTCCTGAAAGGAACAGCGCTAATGAACGGCAAAATGTCCAGCCAATTTCCACCGTAAGTAATCCTTGTAAACACTAATATACAGGATAAAGAATCACATGATGTTTATACTTTGGTGCTCACCCATAATAAAATTCTAGAACTCTTGCCAGATAGTGTCCTAACCCTATAAACCTGGGAACTGGATGTTTGCCTTCTAGGCCTGACCTGGCACCATGAGCCCAGCACCCAGAATCCTAATAGCTCAGAGCAGGTAGGCATGGCAGTAGCCATGCCTACTGCAGCCTCTGCAGCATCTAAATAATTTTTTTTCTAAAATAAATAATTTAAAAAATTCAGAGCAGACACTGGAATAGGCTTGTATCCAGAGGTGACAGAGGTCTTGGAGAGAAATGAGACACTAGTAGACACAGAGAGACATGAAGCTGCTTTTGTGCACATCCTAAGTACAGTCACGGAATTCTTCCCCAAAATAAAGATCCCAAGCTAGAAGGTACAATTCCAAAAGAACCAAACTGCTAACATATACTTGTGTAGTAAGCCCATACTCATTTCTTCCCCTGAGGGGCGGGGGAAAGCAAGCTCTCCTCCTCTCCTTTCCCTATGAACCCTAGATCTTAAAGGATTTTGTTTGTCCCATTCATTATGTTTTAAATCAGGAAAAAGCACTTTGAAATGAACCGAACCTTTGCAACTGTTTACCCCCAAGTTTATGTAAGTACATTTGATTCTCAGTGCTGGAACATTGTTGTAGGATGACTGGGTTTGGAGTCCAGAGACGTCCCCTAATGAAAGCTGAGCAGGTGCCTAGAAGTGGGGACTTAGGTACACCCACTTAATGTGTTTGTAATACAGGGAGAGGATGATTAGACCCAATACTTCTGTCAGAACCGTCACCCTGGCTCTTCAAGAACTAGACGTGATCAAAAAGTGATCGATCCTCTGTGAAATTAGCAGAGGCCATGCTCTTAAGGAACCAGCATAGGTGCTGAACGGAAGGTGTTGAAATGGCTGGGCCCTACAGCTAGACCACTGCTTCACACACTGGCTCTACCAGCCTCAATGATGATCAAGTCACATAAGATCTCCACTTGCTCTCCTTGTTTATAAGAGGAGGGAAACAACGTTTATCCTAAAGGGCCCTGCCAATGAAAGAAAGATAGTGCTTTCGAAATGCTCAGAGTGATGCTGAGCACACAGTGTGTACAGAGAACAGTTTACCTGTACACTTTCAGGAGCAGTCTGCCTCCCTCCCCAGTAGTCTCCAGAGATAGCGACGTTAAACAGTCAACAGCACTCTTGTGTGCGTGTTTGTGCATCCACGTGTATGTGTGTATGTATGTGTTCGCATGTGTATGTGAGGATTCATGTGTGCAGGTCACAGAACCATTTCAGGTGTCAGTCCTTGCTTTTCTCGTTCTTTGAGATCTGGTTTCTCTTGCTGTTCTCTGATGTGTATACATTAGCGGAGTGTGGCTCCTAGCAATTCTCCCATCTCCAGTCTCCAAGTAGGGGTGTGCGGGATTATAAAATTTCTGCACTACAGCACAGCTTTTACATGGGTTCTGGGAACCCAAACAAGCTGTCAGTCCTTCAAAGTAACCACGTGACCTACTGAGACATCTCCCCAGCCTTTTCGTAGTGCTTTAAATTTTAAATTACATTTATTTTTGTTATATTTATTATTATTTCTTTATTTTGTGGGAGCATGCACATGTACACCAGTACCATGGCGCATGGAATCAAAGAACATGTGGAGGTCTGTTCTCTCCTACCATGGGGATCTCGGGGATTGAACTTAGGGCGAACTCAGGTCTAACAGCAAGCACTGAGCCATCTTACCAGCCCATCACACAAGACACAGAGCACAAGAGAGTTATGACAAAGGACGATGGTGATCACTGCACAGCCATGCCAACTTTAATGCTACTCAATTTTATGCTTAAAAACACAGGGCAGGGGCTGGAGAGATGGCTCAAAGGGTAAGAGCACTGGCTGCTCTTCCAGAGGTTGAGTTCAATTTCCAGCAACCACATGGTGGCTCACAACCATCTGTACTGAAATCTGGTGCTCTCCTCTGGTGTGCAGGAATACATCGAGGCAGAATGTTGTATACATAATAAATAAATCTTTAAAAAAAAAAAAAAACACAGGGCAGGAGATGTGGTTGGTACAGGGCTCGCCTAGCATATAAGAAACCGTGGGTTTGGTCTTCATCTCCATAAAAATAAGCCAGGTATGGTGGCACTTCTAGCTGTAATTCTAACACTTGAGAGGTAGAAGCGGGGGGTGGGGGTCAAAATTCAAGATCCTCTTTGGCTACATAGTGAGTTTGAGACTTGTCTGAAAGACATTAGACCCTGTAGTCAAAACAAGGCATGAAGTGATCAATATCATATTTGTTTTTAAAGGAGCGTGATGTAGGACTTGGAGTAGACCTCCATACCAATCAACCTCCTTAGTGACAGAGATAGGGCAGTGAACGCGCAGACAGACGCAACTTTGGCAGGGGCAGTGGGCCTCGAATGGTCCTTAGATTAGGGAAGAGTTTTACTCCCCAGAGTAAAGGCCGGTTTCCCAGCACCACGGGGCAAGCTGCATTAGTTTCACCTGATCTCTTCCTCGCCAGATGGAGCAGGACGAAGGCTTGAAATTCCAGCTAGCCCACAGGTTGAACGAAGGGGACAAACAAGGGCCCCAGAGTTTTACATGCAACTGTGCCTACATACAAAGAATAAGTTGAATTGAACTATGTGCTTTGGAGACCTAGATTTCGCAACACTCCTGGGGAGGAGGATCATAATCAGATCCCAGAGACATAATATGCAAAGGCAGGCACGGTGTGGCACAAACCTCTTCTCCCACTGATTCAGGGAGGCTGAGGACTGACGACTGCATGAACCCAGGTGTTCAAGACCATCCTGGGCAATGCAACCAGACTCTGTTAAAGGTTAAAGGATGGAAAGGAGATACTAGAGTGTCAAGAACAATGTAAACAAGGCCAAAGGCACCTGTTTGTCACAGTCCCACAGAAAGAAAAATACAGACATAGACAGATTTGTAACTGAAGCTCACAAGACTCCTTGCAACTGACAACAAGGGAGTGAGGAATGTCAGGCCTAGGAGTCACCAACACCGTAGGCCAATTGGGGAGCACTCAAAGACACATTTTAATTGTTTAATTCATGTCTGTGTGTGTGGCTGTTTTGCTTGTGTATGCCCCCAGGTGCATGCAATGCCCACAGAGGCCAGAAGAGGTCATCAGATCCCCGGAACAAGAGCTACAAAAGGTTGCCTCATGGGTGTGGGGAATAGAACCCAGGACCTCTGCAAAGGCAACCAGCGCTCTTAGATGTTGAGCTACCTCTCCAGCCCCTCAAAGACACTTTTAAATGTCCCTGAGATTGACCGTCACCATCGCACTGTTGAGGCAAAGCTTTGGATGGCCACCCAATCATCAGTCACCAAGATCCTGGGTCACATTGAAACACTAAATTGATGGAAAGGGAGAGGAGTACAAGGTACAATACCCAGACATAATCCAATAGCCATACAGTGGCCAACACTAGAGCCTACAGTTAAATTCAACACAGATTTCTCTTCTATTTTTGAAGACTCACTCTAGGCAGCTTTCACCATATGTGTGTATTAATGGAAACGCACTTCGAGCCTTCTGAAACTATAGAAGCCATTGCCATAGCAGGATGGTAGTGGGCACTTCGCATATTTCTAAAGTGTTGCTAAGCTTTCGTGATAAGATGATGAAAATTCATCTATATTTTGTGAGTCCCAGAAGTATGCGAGGAGTTTTCAAATGAAAATGTATGCTGAATCCCTCTGTAAATCTGGTCTTTGAAAGTGATGCCTAGTTTGAAGGCATGTGCATCTCATTACGGCGTCCCTGGGAGCTGTGAATCTCTAGGAAAAAATCCAAAGACCTTTCTTAGTTTGATTCCAGTAATAAATATTCAGGAAGGGCGGGGCAAGTGGAACCACCCAAGATGCCTTGAAGTGAACAATTGTAGAGCAAGTTGGTGTGGTTTAAACACACCCGCAGGTCCAGGAGTAAGAAGTCCTGCAACCTCTATTTAAACACACCTGCAGGTCCAGGAGTTAGAAGGCCCTGCAACATATTTCTTTTTCATCATGCAGGGAATTATAACCTATGTGCATATTTAAATTAAAAAATACCTGTTAAAAAATTAAATAGTCTATAAATGCAGAGAGTCACTATGTCGTTTTCTGGAAGAGACTCTAAACTGCAGATGTGACAAGCGGGAGAGAGCCAGGACAAGCAACTTATCTCTACCAAGACCAGCTAGTGAAAGCTTATCCTTACTCACCTAAAATATTTTCATGCCTCAACATCACAGTGTTGTAGAGTTCTGTTTCCCTGAACCATGACTTCTCATCGCGGGAGGAGAAGATCTTTACGGCCACATTTTCGCCTTGCCAGCTGCCCCTCCACACCTCTCCATACCGGCCCTTCCCTGTGGACGGTCAAACAGATGAAGCACGTGAGAAACATTTTTTGTTTTTCCTAGCAAACATAGTCAACCTGACAGTGTCCTCGAAACCTCTCCCTTCCTGTCTGCAGACGAGCCAGTCACGTCGGATTGTGAAGTTCAGCCCCAACCAATGGCATGAAACAAAGTCACCACCCACATCACAGAGGCCATTTGGGCACATGCCTTCACTAGTTCAGTTTGGGTTCTGGTAGACCCTTTTTGCTAAAAGAATGCCTTGCCAATAACTTTTGCTTTGTGTTTCTTTATGTGACTCTGAGATTATTCTTTCTTTCTCATATACAGTAGGGTAAATACGGGACACACAGGCAGACCAAACAACTCTTGTAGAAAACACTGAGCCTAAGGCCTGAAACTCTTAACCCCTCCCATTATTTGCTGGGCAAACTCAATTTGGGAGCGCAAATACTTTACCTACAAAGATATACAAAGATAAGGTAGAACTCTCCTTTCTCTGTCCACCTCACTGTGACAGGAAACTGCCTTCTAATCAGTGCCACACAATTAGCTGATACTAATTAGCTGCACATTTATATTTAAATTGCTTTCCTGAAGGGTACCTAACGTGCATCCCTAGTCCTGCAGGCAGGTCAGCATATCGGTAGATGACACTGTAAAGTCACAATGTCAAAAGGATAGAAACCTTTGTCATATCATTTTGGAAAACACAGGAAAAGTGACACAATTCAGAAAACAATACTGATTCTTAGATTTCAATATGATATCAAAAGCCAAAGGGTAAGGGTATGAAGCTAGATCATTGAATGGCTTCTCTGGCTCCCTTCCTTTATGCTGGACGCTCCCAGGCAATTCTAGTCACAAGTATCGCATGTGCTTCTGTGCTTTTTCCCACACAGAAGGACAGTTTGAGGTCCTGGAGATTAGCAACAGCCTGTGGCATTGGCGGGAGGCCGTTCTGCACAATCACCACCACCTCTGAAGGGTTTCTTGGAGAAAGATAGTTTTCGAAAGCAGATTTTCAAAATCACATGCACGCAATCCCAGAAGAGCTCTGACTTCTGGCACCGGTCATGGGTGTCTGTTTAGAAGGTCCCTGGTGATGGCGCACGCGGACTACACTTGAAAGAGTGTTTGGAAGTTAAGAGATGGCTCAGCAGGTAAATGTGCTTGCTGAGTGCGAGCCTGAGTTTGACCCCTAGAATCTATATAAAAGAAAACTAACTCCACAAAGTACTCTCTGCCATACATTCATACATGTGTTCCATAAATTTATACATACAATACTAATAAATATTTTTTAAAGTCACCTGGGGGCTAGAGAAATGGCTCTGTGTTCAAGAGCACTCTATGTTCTTCCGAGGACCCAGATTTGATTCTCAGAACCCACCGGATGGCAAACAACCATCTATCACTTCAGTTCCAGGGATTCCAATGCCCTCTTCTTTCCTCCTCAGACACCAGGCAAATCTGTGATACACGGACATGCATGCAAGCAAAGCACCTATGCACATAAAGCAGTCGAATATTTTTTCAAGACACTTGAAGAGCATATTTTAGAAAATGGGGTGACTTAGCCCTGTCTGATGCATGCCCCCTACTTTCTATCAAGGACAGATTCCCCCTTCCAATAATCTCTTTAATTATAGGTAAGGATGATCAAAGAGGCAGGAAAGAGGAGGTCATTATCTCAAAACGATGGGGGTCACATGGGCTGTAATAGCCGGGGTGGCAGGCCGTGCAGCGGGAGATGAAACTACAAGGCAATGCAATGAGCCCGTCAGTCTAGGCGTGTGGCGATTGCTCCATCACAAGCCTGCGGTAGGCAGCTGCCGAGCCACCTGCACGCACACACGCCCCGTGCTCTGTTGGAAATCTACACCAATAAGAACCTAAACATAGAAAGAAAGCAGGTGTGTCCAAGTCACACCTGAAACAGCCCCCAAACCACCGACGGCTGGGGATGCGGCTTGGCAACCGAGTGCCTGCTTCACAGGTGTGACCCACGGGGTACCATCCAGCTCTGGCTGTTCCCCGACAAGAACTAATAGCTCTATCCAATAGCAGTGACTAACCTAAAGGGAGGCTAAGATTGGCTAGAGTACAGTGCGAGCTACTGTTGAGAATCACACAGAGTCTATACAGTTTACCAGTCATTTTGGTCATGGTTAGCCTTTGATGAGGACTAGCGTTGGGATGCTACAAAGCCAGAAGCTACAAAAGAAGCTGAGTGCTAAGGTCGCACTGCCTTTGCTCCTCGTGGCAGCTTTTTCTCTTTGTAGCCACTGTTTCACTGGGAAGAAAAGTATCCCAAAGAGTTGGGAACACAAAGTTGATTGTTGTTGTTAATCTTTTTTTTTTTAATGAAGAAAATAAAATATATGGCATGGTAGGTGGATAAAGTCAGTACAGAAATTTATTTTGATGGCTGTCACATGCTTTTTGCTAATGCGATCTTATGCAAAAGTCCTTAAAACCGTGGCACCATTACCCAAAAAGTTCCTGACCAGGAAGCCTCACAAAGAGGATGCCTGGGGCCTTCAAATTTAGATAGTACGATATGGAAGGGGCTAATACGGTCAACTCCCCATGTTCTCGAACTAATGTGATCATCTATTTGCCTTTCTGCTCAAAACGACACCATGCAAACACACACTTCGAGCTTCTGGAGAGACATCATCAGTCTTCAATGTCGACCCAACCAAGCGCCATCATTGAATCTACGCTGGCTCCAAAAGGCTGAAGAACATTAAGAGAGTCAGAAACTGTGCCCAGGTCAGAGGAGCACTTGGACTCTGAGGCCAATCTCTGAGGATTAAGCTCGGTGCGTGGGACTATCTGTGAGTGATGGGACAAGGGAAAAAGGCAGCAGAGGCAAGTGCATGGTCCCTTTGCTGCCTCCCAGCACTGCCCGGGCATCTTTGCTCGTAAACAAACGGGCGCTAATTAGTACAAGAAGACAATTCTTTTGTTGTCTCCCATCATCTTTTTCTAGTCTCAGTCAGCATGGGGGGGCGCCACTTACGGTGGAGATAGGCACAGTGGGTGCGAGCAGACCCGGGGAAATGGCAACACAGCTCCATGCTGTCGCCTATGTGTCTTACGCAAGCAGTGCCGGCCATCTTACTGCAGAATTCGAGAGCATGCCTTCATATAGCAGCAAGTGTCGGGGGCAGCTCGTAGTGGTCAGCTGAAACAAACTGTCGGAGGGCAGACGCTGCAGCACCTGCCCCAAAAGCCTGAGCGCCAGAAGGAGCGTAGAGACAATGCCAAACCATTCCTTCACACCATTCCATAAAGTGGGTCAGGCTTGTGTGTGGCAAAGACAGAGGGGGGAACAGCTACATATGCGTGCGTTAGGTTAACACTGGGTTCTCTTCCATCACTTCCTTTTCTGAGACAGCGTCTCTCACTAAACCTAAAGCTCACAGATGCAGCTAGACGGGTTGGTCAGCAAACTCTGCACATCTTCCTGTTTCTGCATAGCCAGCGCTGGACCTATACGCACATACTACTGTGCCAGATTTTTACATAGGCGCTGGGGATCAAAATCAAGTTATCCCACTTGTACAATTAGCGCTCACTGACTGAGCCATCCCCTCAGTCCTGAAAATCAGGACCTTAAGAATGCATTTGGCCGTAGGATGTATGCCTATAATAATCCCAGCATTGAAGGGACAGAGGCGAGGGACGGTTCAAGAGAAGATCATCTTTGGCTGTGTACTGAGTTCTAGGTATGCCTGGGCCAAAAGAGACCCTGTCTGAAAAACAAACAAAGCATTTGGCACCATCTTCACAAAATCCATGAGGCAACCACTACTACTACTACTACTACTACTACTACTACTACTACTACTACTACTACTACTACTACTATATGATGTTTGACTCAGAAATTCTCAGTTCCTGGGAATTCATGCTGCCAATTTAGCAGCAGAAGAATGTGTGCTAAGTCCTTTATGAGCATTTTTGCTAATGCACCGGCCAAACTGACTTACTGCTGAGTCTTTTTAAGGACTTCTAATAAGTCCCAGTACTTGAAAAAGTATGTGCCCTCATAAACTGAAGGAAGGTGGGCCAGTGATACGGTTCAATCGGCAAAGTGCTTGCCACCCAACCCTGATGATCTGAGTTCAATCCCCAGCAGCCACACAAAGGTATAGGGTGACAACCAACTCCACAACACTGTCCTCTAACTTCAGGTGCTTCATGGCATGCACACACCCACACACATACATCATAGACATACATGCTGGAGCAAGCACATCCCCCCACATACATCATATACACATAATACACATATGTGCTACGGCATACACACACATACATCATAGACACACATGTGCCGTAGAATGCACATCCCCCACACATACAATATACACACACATGCTGTAGCATGCACACCCCACAATACATCACATACACACATGAGCCACGACATGCACAGACCCACATATATATGTAATATATACATATCATAGCATGCACACATCCACACACATACATCATATACACACATGCAATAATAACAGATCAAAAAATTTTTAGTGAATAAAGGAGCACAAAGTTTTCAGAAAAAATTAATCCGCCAACCTAAATATGGTGTAGGGAGAAAATTGAAAGGCTATAAAAATATATGTAGCTCTTGGGAATAAGGACTTAATATGAAAACACTTAGTAATCTTCACTCTAGTTTTTTAAAAGTATATTTTAATAAGTTTCCTTGTTTCTAATTGATACACAATAAGCAGATAAACTCATCATTCTTTTTAGAGGGAAGAGACAGTAGAAAGGATGGGAAAACCTTACTAACCAAGTCTATTACCTTAGATCATTCAGTCCTTGGGCAACACAGCCTCTTCGATTCACTCTGACTAGGCACTGTCTGTACTGCTTGGTGATGACCCCCTTACCAGCACTTCAACAAGTTCTCAACCATGAGTCACAGAGAACAGAGACCCCCCCCACGGCTATCTCCCCCCACACACCGAATAATCACCCTATACTCGGCACCTCCTGCGCTCAGTGAGGAAATACAATAAGCAAAGAGAAGTAGGTTTTTCCAAGTCCCATTCTACTCCCAGAATCACAGCTGATGCTGTCCATTTCCAAAAGGAAGGGAAACCAAGAATTACCAACACACTCCAACAGGGTAATCTGGCGAGCCACAGTTCTCTGAACCAGAAACGGAAGACCAGAGCCGCTTCCTGAGGTACATGAGTGATCCAGTAATTCCTGTAATGAAAACAAGCAGAAAAAGAAATTACTGAGCTATGGCTCCTGCTTTGGGGCCCTATGATGCATGCCGTGGTAACCAACATGAGCTCCAGCAACTCTGGTTGTGTGACCCTGCTAATGCCTGAAAACTGCCCCCGAAAGGACCAGGAACTGTGTGTCTCAGAAAAATTAAGAGGTAAAGCAAAGGCACGTTTTCCTGGTCCATAAGTCATTCTTTCTTGAGCCCTGGAGGTTTTTTTTAACCAAATATATAAGAAGGGAAGCTGATCAAAGTTAATAAGCACATTAGAAAGTTCAAAGGACTGACACAAGGAAGCAGTGGGAAGAATGGGGGTGGGGGATGTTTCAGCATTAGAGCTGTGTATTATCTGGTACATTCTGCAATGCTCACTAACTATCTATCCAATGATCTACTTTAGTTGCCAAAGAAATTAAAGATGTCTAATTAGAAGCAGACAAATTAGGAGTATGAACCTCCAAGTGCAATGTCTGTAATGGAAAGATTCTAATAGTATGTAGACCATTAAATTGGTACTTATAGGTGCGTGTTTCTTACAGGTAGGTGTTTCTCTGGATGGAGGCTCCTTTTCTTTCAGGTAATAGATGAACAAAGGAGCCACTAAATTAACACTTACTAGCCGTTTCTGAACACAAATTGCAAATTAGAATGGAAAGACGTAAAACAATATTTCATTTGAAACATAAAACCGGAGTTGAAAATTAATTTCTCCCAGGGAGCATGCTGGCAAGAGATTGCCAGTTATGAAGTTTTCCTTCCTACTCTCAGCAAAGGCCTGGGTCGTGTCTAATGCACAGACTGACCGCCATGGTGGGACGGCTGCAGTATCAGCCAACTAACCCTGCCCAAAGTTAGTCCCTTCCCAGGACACGAGCAGCGTAGGCGAGCAACGCATAGACTTCCGCGACTTTTATCCTCTCTCCATCCCACACAGCACTGCTCCACAACACTATTGATCGGTAAAGTTACCAAACTACAGTTGACTGGTAAAATTACCAAAAGCTGAAGAGTCAACAGAAGAAATCTAGAACCCTTAAAAGCCACAAGAGGATAATCAGGAAGAAAATGGATGTTGGTGAAGCAGGGTTCACGCCTCTCCAGCAAGTCTCTCTTGCCTCTCTTGCCATGTTTGTCTTCATTTATTCAATTATTTGTGAGAAGAACAACTCTGAATATTAAGCTGTCGCTTGATTGGGTTCTAATCAAGTTCACAGATTTAAGAAAGGGTGGGAGGAGGTCAACCAAAGACAAATAAAGACCTCCCTCAATCCCTGAAGCACCAGCCATGAGTAAGCTTTAGCAACGCCACACTTTGTCAGATGGCTGCAAAGAACACACCGTTCACATAAGGAAATAAGGACAACTGGTTGTTTCTTGCTATGTCATTATATCGTGACATTCTGTCAGCTGACGTGGCTGGGCTGTGTTGACAAAACTGTTTTGGCATAGGTTTTCATTCCTACTTCAAAACCCTAAAAGCTATTTAAACAGTAATTTACACTAGACGTTCCAATTACGGCCCTTGGTAATTAGACAGGTTAGCAGCTCCGAGGAACAAAGTTCTGACTGATCTACGTTAGAATCGTGCTCTGCCGAAGCTTCATCGGAAATCATCCTTACGTCTTCCTGCTACAAACTCCATACACCCATCCGCTTTACCCTAAATCTCAGAACACACTTCAAAGCCAGCATTTAATGGAGGGGTATCCTCTTCCAGTCTCACTGCACCATAACTCAGATAGCTGAGTACAAGGGGGTACGCAAGGATAACTTGTTCCTGTTTTATGCAGAGCACTGATGGTGCAGGCAGAAGGACATGGTGGTACCCGGGCTGTATCATCAGCAATGCCTTGGCACCTGACCGCAGGTAGGTCCTACGCCTGCCCAGGTGCATGTAGCCCACGAGCTAAGGGTGGCCACTGCCTAGGGTTTATCTGCTCTAGAACACGAAAGAAGGAAGTTGCAGAGCAAGCCTAATTAGAGAACTCCCGGGCACTTAGAGACTTGTCGCGTAGCGGAGACAGCCTTCATGCATGACGATCTGCTGTGAGACAGGAGTGCAGCTTTAAACAGCTCGGAATCACATTACGGAGATGACTTGATTGACTTGCAACTCCCTGGATGATGACAAGGAGGGAGCGGATTTGGTTGTGTCATTTGCACCTAACGCCCACGAAGCCATGTCTTTTTCAGAGAAGTCATGTCGCTAGTATCCATGGAGAACGCTGCTACTTTATTCTTTTGCACTCTGTAGTAGGCTGTTTATGGTTAAGTGACCTACTTCCCCGACTTAACTGAAAGTTTAGCAGAGTAACTAAAGGAAGGCATTCACTTGGAAGGGGACACTATAGCTTTAAAACATATGAGTAACTTTATATTTTGACTGCATTTATTTATTTATTTACGTATTTATTTATTTATTTGCGCGGGGGGTGGTAGCCTTGCCACAGCACGTGTTTGGAAGTCAGAGGACAGCTTGTAGGAGTCAGTTTTCTCCTGGGGATTGAATTTAGGTCATTGGGCTCAGCAGTGAACATCTTTACCCTCTGGTCCACCTCACTGGCTAGGGAGTAATTTTCAAATGTATAAACATAGGGCCTTCTATGCTGAAGAAGTAAACTCTGAAGGGTCTGGAATGAGGCACCCTGCAAATAACTTTGGAATTTTACGTAAAATAGCAATAATCTTATGGTATATTGAAACAATAAAAAAAATCACAAATGCTTTGCTTTTCCCCCCTCTCTACTTGTAAAGGAAACTACTAAAACATTTGAAATTCCAGATGTGCTACACATTTCGACTGGAGGATGCCGGTTCAATCAGCTGATTACACTCCACAAGGGGGCAGTACTAGAGCATCAAAAACTTAATGGCTACTTCAGGAGAAGTCAAGTTTCGAAAGTATGGGGTATTCAAATCATCTAAAAGGAAAAAGGGTTTTTTAATATTAATGAAAAGATGCTTCCTTGAAAAAAAAAGTTTTTGTTGTTACAAATAGAGCAATTGAATAGCGCCATTCCAAGCCTCCAAAACTCCAGCCCACCAAACATTCTTTATCCCTTTTCCTCACATTCCCCAAAGAAAAGTCAGCACCAAGAATCTACTAAAGTAAAACCTCCAAGCCCATTCTTCAAGTGTCTGCTTAGATGGATGTTCATAAGTACATAAGTACGGGAGCTAACCTGGTGCTCACATACAACTGGACATTGGTCCAGTGACTAGGTAGCCACATTGCACATCTGAACTGTCCATTCACTGCTAGTTTTCCACACTCAAAATAAGAAAGTGTCCATCTCCATTTCTGGGGTCACAAACTCACCGCTAGAGTGCTGTCTCCGACATTGGTGGTGATGAGCCCTTCAATGGTACCATATTCCACATCTCTGGGGTTGAGGCGTTCTTGGTTGCGTCTTTTAAACTTCCTGAGAGCAACTCCCAGGATGCAGGCTAAAAGACATACCGCAAACACCACCGAGAGGATAATAAGGCCGACTTCCAGGTGGAGATTCTGTGATCCAGGGAAGGATTTCCCTGGAGAATGGGAAGAAGATGGTAAGTGGGAGTCAGAACCACCATTTCCTTCTTCTTTACCAATATCCTAAGAAGTGGCTCCCGATCCTGGCCAAACAATCTCACAAATCAAAACAATTTACAACTAAAACACTTCCTAACATCCAGCCAATGGCACAGCCATTTATTCAAGTGATCATTCCGTTAAGCAGAACTGGAGTTTAGAAAGGATCCCGCCGAGAATCAACTGTATTAGTGCACGGCTGTCGAAGAGTTTCTAAAATACAAGAGCCATATAAGCCTCGTTGTTGCTCTTATTAACTTGAATTTCATATGGAAAGATGATTTACCATCAAGCCCTGAAGGACAGCCATTCCACTGTAATACCCCACGGAGAAATCTCCCCTAAGCTTTCCCTCTTTCAGGGTTCCTTTCAGCAACCCAACTCTCTACTCAAAGACCCTTTAAGTTTCTTTAACTCTTCAAGTCCTGAGAATCAGGTTGGCACACTTAATACTCTGCATGACAATGCATGGCAATGCATGCTTTTATACATGTCATCTGTATGGCAATGGAGGGCATGTCATGAAATGACAGATACTGTGGTCTCTCAAATAAGAAATTCCTTACAGGAAATGCCTTCTGTTAAAACGCAGGCTGTTGAGAGAGAGGGAAATGGCTCTCAGGGCAAGAGTGCCCGCTACAAAAGCCTGCCAGCCTGAGTTTGACCCCTGAACCCCAACTCCTTTAAGTTGTCCTCTTATCTGCCCAACACATGCATGCACACGCAGGTGCATGTGCACATGTGTGCACGCACACACAAACACACAAATAAGTATATAAATTAATGTGTAAAACTTAATGTGTGGCAGTGTGAGCTTATCAGGATCTTCACCCCGTTGACATAGCTTTTGTGTGAATGCAGAGATTTCTTCTTGTCCATCCCTTCTGTTAGTAAAAAATTAACACACTGAGCATACGGGAAATAACCTTTGAGTTCAACTACTTCAATATTTGATCCCTGTTTTTCAAGCCCTTGTTATTCAAACCTATTTTTATAATAGAATGGAGTCTCTTCTACCTGCCCTAAGCAGGTCACGGTAACTTAAAAATTGCCACATGAACTATCAGCTTTTTGGTTTTCTGCCTCCGGCCTCCTTTTTGCCTCATGACAGTCCTGGCAGTGAAGGCTCCGAGTGGCCTCTCTTGTGCCATTTGTCATATCCTTCTTCCACAAGCTCAAAATCATAGAATTAATCCTATTAAGAGGTACTCTATATTAAGGAATAAATTTGGCTTGGAGTGGGCCCATGTTAATCTTGATAGCAACTTTGGATAGCCACTTAGAGTTCACTGTATGAGAAAACAGTTTCGGAGGGAGACCAATTTCCAAAGGACATAGAATCCATAGGAAATGCATGAGGGGGAATTCCATTAAGTACATGGCTCACGCACAATCACATATGACTTCCGTTCACATGGCCAGGAATTATATTTGGAAGATGCTGGAGAATGTTTCTTTGTCTTCTTAACAATGGAAAGGCATTCCATGCAAGCACCAGGTACCACACATGACCTAAAGATGAATGTTTACTAGGCTGAATTACTAAAGGAATTATGAACATCACTACCACCCTTTAACAGAAGGTGCTAGCGGGAGCCACACACCTGTGCGTGGTGACCTCTGCTCAGCAAACCCTGCCCCTAAATCTTTCCTCGACGAATGTCACATCACTCCCTTGCCCCAGAACTCTCATTCTCCTTTTAGATTGCAAAAGCCTTTCTCTTCCTCACCCAGCCTGACCTGCCATGGCCCACCAGCTCTGGTTCAGGCTGTAAGAAGAAAGCTTCTGGCCACACAGATCCTTAACCCACACGAATGTGGAGCAACACTAATAAACCCCTTTGATCCAGAAATAGAAAAAAAACCATGGGAACCTTTAGTGGGCAGCTGGGCAGTGATGTTTCTGTTACACCAGTCCCCCTGGCAGCATTCCACCGCTTGGCCAGGCGACGGAGGGGTCTTACACGTCATCTTCCCCTGCTCGTAAACCTGAAAGCAGCCCTTCTGGTAGACGTGGAAGCCATCGTTGATGCTCAGAGAGGAGAAACACTGCTGGCCTTCGCAGTGGTCCTCATTCCCGCAGGAGAGGCCCTCACACACACACATGTAAAGCTTCGAGTTGACTTTGGGCTTCTCATCTGCAAAGGAGAGGTAAGAGAGGAAAACGATTCACTCGTATGAGCTTCATCACTCTCAGAGGAAGAAAAAAAGAATCAGGTTGCCCTGTGATCACCCCAAACCCGATCACAGAGACATCACCACGGACCCATGTCTACACCCCACAAGACTATCACACAACCAAAGAATAATGCCATCCTAGTCCATGGGTCCATCTGTCCGTGCTGTGTAGCCTCCTTAAGAACATGCTAGCACAGAGACCTAGCAAGGGGCTGTCCAGACTCGTGGGGAACCCCTCTCTCATAGCCCCAGTTCCTGCACCTAAAAAGCAATATTTGTTAGGAACATACACTTCATCACCTTTATTTTATACCCCCCCCCCCAAATGGCTCCTAAATAAATATATGGCAACCATATTTAGCACCATTTCCTACCAGCGCTGCCCCTGGAAGCAAGCAATGATTCGGGACTTGAGTGCTTCAGAACACACTTGTAAAAGAGTCGATAGCTACAAACCCAAGTTCTCAACCTTCTTAGCCGGATGCTAGACTTCATGTGATGATGATGATGATGATGCTGGAGTCTGTATATTGGTTAAAATTACAATTAGTAGCTCTTAAGAACTGTCTACTGGTAAGGAAGAAGGGGAGAAAACTGGCATCAAATACTCACGCGGAGGGCACAAACAAAGGGAGGGAAACTACATTTAGACAGTTAGGTAACAGGTATGACCAGGGACCAGGCAGTTCCCGGTGACGCCACCGAGAAGCAAAGCAAAGTGAGACAGAGCCGTATCCCAGAGAGGCACACTTCCTCCGACCTCCCAGCTGTCTTTCTGCAAACACTTATTTGGAGTTCCATTTTCACATCGTTCTTTCCACCTCCCTCATCAGGATGATTAGTTCAGACTTGCTGCCTCCAACACTTTCCGCCAGCCGGGGAGCAAAGTGAAGACAGAATTTGCCAGTCCAGTCCTAAAGGCTATTCCTTAGCTAGCCAAAGGCCACTGTCACCAAAGCCCTATTCAAGGAAATCCGACCTCGGGAGCAAGTCTCTCCCAAGGTCTCTGGCACAGGGAGGGTCCCCTCTGATCCTTGAACTCTCAAGAGCACGTCTGGGAGATAACTGCTTTTTTTCTTTTAAGTTAAAGAAGAAGAAAAAAAAAGCAAGAAAGGAAAAGAAAAAGAGGTCGGGTGGCTGTGCTTTTAAGACAAGACCTTAAAGTCAGGTCTTTGAAAATGTCAAGTTCATTTACACAGATTTGTGTGGGTGTGTATAGAGATGTGGGTTATCTCAAAAAGAAAAATGCGTTTTTAATCTTTCTTCTTCCCTCTTCAAAGAAGGGGAAATATAGTTCACGGCCCGCTGTCGGGTGGGTGCTGCGTCCCACAGAGTAAGTACATGCAGACACACAGACACGGCCTTCTGTTTATAAGTGACTTGCTAGCTCTTTTGAAAGCCACAAGGGGCTCATCCTAAAGCAAAGACATGCCTGAGGGCAGAGAAGCCAAAATAGCCTCTGCCGGCGCTATGTATGCCACCAGACCAACCCCTGAGGATCAAGAGCCCTCAGACTTTTCTAATGAATAAAAGCTTTAAGCAGCAAACAGATGGTAGAGGTAGTCTTTATTTTCTCTGCCTAGAGAGATCCAAGAAATATCCCTGCCCCTATCTACGTCTATAAGAATAAAAATCATATATTTGTGTATATATACACATATAAATACATGCACACACACACACAATCCAGCAAAAAAAAAAGCTTACTCTTGCCAAAGGAGAGTTGAAAGATAATATTTCTAGGGAGTCTAGACATGCTTGCCACTCTTGACTGGCATGAAGCTGGGCTGAGACCTGCCAGCTACGCTGCCCGACAGGTGATGGCTCTTGAGAAGGAACCGAACCGGGAAGGGGAGTTATTGGGAAGTTAATGATGTCATAGCAATGGTTGTGTGACCTGAAATGAACATTAAATGACTGTATTTTAAAAACTGAAATAAGGCAAAGGGTACAAATTTAAAACACACACTTTAATTGTGGAGGATTTGTAATCATATTTATCCAAGAGCATAGTTAATACACTGAAAAGGACACCGGCCGATACTGGGTTGAAGATGAAGAGCTAGTTAGTAGTGATGAAGAGATAAGATGAAAACAAAATAAAGGAGTGACTATTCACAGATCGATGATGGATGACCAAAGATCATTTAGTCAACCCACTGCACCAGAAATGCCAACAAACTGTTAAGATCGTATTCATCACTGAGCCTATAGAATGGATGGATGGTCAGAGAACGGGGCTACAGCTCACGGAGAAGCACAGGACGCATGGGTGAACTGCCCAGGTTTATCTACAGCAGTTGTTCTCAACCTTCCTAAGACTGCGATTTTTAATACAGATCCTCATGTTGTGGTAACACCCAGACATAAAATTATTTTTGTGGCTACTTCACAACCGTAATTTTGCTACTGTTATGAATTGTAATTTAAATATCTGTTTTCTGATGGTCTTGTGAAAGGGTCATTCTACCCCCAAATGACCCCCCAGGGGTCATTGGACCCCAGGGGGCCGCAACCCCCTGGTTGGAGAACCACTGAGTTACAGCATCGTAATATACAAAGAAGTAAACAAACACACGCAGATAAATGCACAGTCCAAGACAACAAAAATTCACACTTTGTGGTTGTAACAGTATGTTTCTAGTGTGAGCTGTTTTCAAAGCTGTAGCCTAAATTAAGCTCTACAGCCATTGACAGAGGAAGAAACGCCACTTTCCCAAGGCCTCTAGCTTTTGACAAGATACATAGTCTGACAGGTGTTTGGACTATAACCAGAGCGTTTTACCAGACACAAGAAGCCTCAAGTCATTTTAACATTTAGTGGGGCCACTTCTGTCCTGCGCAAAGGTACGAAGCAACATTAACCTTCATCAGCTCTCACCCCTGCTGCCTCAAATAAGTCTCCTTCAACCTTCTACTCACTTCTTACAGTTTTATAGAAAGAAATAAGAGTTCCTGCCTGCGTTCCTGCCAGCAATTCTGTTCAATCAAATGTCAAAACGCCTGGTTTACCTAGCCTTGCTCTCCAGACTCAGGACAAAGAAAAGAGACAACAGGGGACGAGCCGGGATGGGTATAGAATAATTAACTCCATCTTTGATACAGGAGCCAAGCACGAATCCAAAACCTTCATCAAATCTGGTTCTCCCATGCTTTCCTCCCAACATTTCATTTATTTAATTGGTACATTCCCATAAAACTAATGAGTAAATCTTTTATGCACTTACTTTACACACACACACAAACACACAACACACAAACACACACACTATAAATGAGAACCTTGAGTTCATAATACAAGATGGCAGTCTGGGTTAGTTTGAAGAGACGTCAAAGCAATTTTCTGAGTTAGGGTTACTAATTCAGCAAAGGCTAAGAGGAAGGCAGAACACACTTAGCTGCTAATATCCACAATTCTTAGGAATACAACAAGTCTCAAAACGCCCATGACTCACTTTTTCAGTCTGGTAAAATTTAACATTCACCATAACATGTGTGGGCCTGTTTTATTTTATTTGGGCTGGGTGTTGGGCTAGGGGATGCCTTTAAGGGCTACATATAAGAATGTGTGGGTTCCTAATCTCTCAGACCATGAGATCAATATACTATAATTGTGTCATGCGCTGCTCCTCCGTGGCGCAACAGGAAGTGTGATATATCTAAAGTGAATATGGTCTTTACACCTGCCTGTGCGAATAACCAGGAAGTGCCCTGGCAGAAGGCAGCAAGCCTACTCCGCCTAATTGACATTCATTTAAATAATTCAGTAATTTAAATGTCAAGCCAGAGGTATTCCCTCTCTGCAAGCTCACCCACATTGTTTGTTCTAGAAGGCACGTCCCGGCATTACTCAGTGTTATGGCTGGCTCTGCTTGGTCTTTGCTCCTGGTATCACCAGAACCAGGGCCGTGTGAAAATGCGCTCAGCTGGAGCTGGCTGGGAACAGACTGGAGAATTCGGACCACAGCGGATGGCTGCTTTCTATCAAGGGAGAAGCCAGCAGAGTGGGAGAAGATCAGGGCTGTTCTGCAAGCCAGAGGCACAAGCTGGGAGTCCCCAAGAGTTCAAGCAGCCACATCTTTAAAAAGATTTTTCCAGGCGGGCAGTGGTAGCGCTTCCCTTTAATCCCAGCACTTGGGAGGCAGAGGCAGGGGGATCTCGGGTTCCAGGACAGCCAGGACTTTTACATAGAGAAACCTTGTCTCAAAACTGCCCCCCCCCATGAAAGATTTTTTTTTTTCTTGTTCTGGGCAAGGCTCAACTCACCATCTGGACACACACAGTCACTGGGAGATGATTCCAGACTGGCAACGGAAGACGCAAAGCAAAGAGCAGCTCAGACTTTTTCAGACGGTTAATAGCTGGGAACAATCTTGGGCTTCGTCACAACATTATTCACATTTATGTTGAATTAGGACTTCAGCAATTGAGGCACAATACTGCAGACTCCCCTGTCCCCACCTGCCTAGTGGTGTACTGCGTAACGCTTACAGCATTCAAACAGACTTTCTTTCTACATGGTGCACAAAAGCCCACATTTCCCACTAAGATCTTTAACGCAAGACAGATGAGAAAACGCGACAGACTACCCTGCCCTGCACCCAGGAGCCAGGCTAAGGGTCAGCAAAAGGGGACAGGCTGAGTTTCTAACAGGCTCACCTTAGAGCAGGGTAAATAATAATGCAGTAATTAGAAGGTGATTATAAAAGCCCCATAGTGCAGAACTTGTATAAGCTAAAAAAGGGAACTCCAAACATCCTTGGCCTCCTTCCAGCAGTCCAAACGACTCATTCATCTGAAAAGGCAGTTTATATTAGGTTTATAGATTATGGGAGTCCTTCCACCGGGCTCCTAATCTGGGAGCCCTGTTTGGCGCCTCTCCAGAATTTGCAAGCATTTGAGATCTCTGGCATTAAACAAAGGCTTAAGGAAGGATTTTGCAATGCCAGGTTTCATTGCC